CCCTCCACCACATACCATAATGATGATCAGTCTTGATAATAGCTGTCATTACAGCTGAGCCCTCTATGAGATATTCTTTGTTTTAAGAATCATCCAAGTGAGGCTATCGGGTTGAAACAATGCTTGTTGTCTCATTTGCACCTCATTTACATGTATCCATAATATCTGCTGTTCCCAAAGGGCAGCCCCTTGAGGTTCAAACCTATTTTTACCTTCAGCCAATGAATTCATTGATGTTTCTGTTGTGGATGTAACTTTGTCATCACTGGAAACAGTCCATCTTTCCAGCACTGTAGCTATCTTTTTACTCATTCTCTTTCTTTTGTCAACTTTTTTCTGATTTTTTGATTTTTTCTTTCTCTTGAGTTTTTTTTCCTTGGTGTGGTTTTCTTCAGGTGATTGTGAAAAAGTATTACTTGAATTCCTAAAATATTTGTAAGGCATTTCTCATTGGAATCAAGGTTTGGTATAGTGGTAGCAGTAAATGGTACATGTAGGTGTATACATTCTCTCATCATTTGATATTGCAGAACTCACCCACCTCTCCTCTCTGCCTACAAAATTGCTTTTCACAGGGGCTGGGAGGGGTGCATTTTTTGTATCCATCACAATATTTATCGAGGTTGGTGTGGTAGCACACTCACATCTCACCTCTCGATATTATAAAAATTCACTCACCCCTCCCCTCTGTCTATGAAATTTGCTTCTCTCAGGGAGGGGTGCATTTTTTTGTATTTATCAAAATCAAGGGTGCTTGCCTCACTTGAAATTTGGAGAATTTACCCACCCTCCTCTCTGTCTATAAGACTGATTCGCATCCCTTTTACAATTATTCATTTGAGATATACCTCTCTGTTGGATTCTGTTCTTGTTCAATGGCAAAAATCAAGCCAGCGTCTGTAAGAGTATCTCCAACAGTATAGTGTGCAGGCAGATCAAAGTGATACTCGTTTTGTAGCTTACAGACCCTTAAAATCTGTTCATCAGGGTAGAGTTTCTGAAAGACAATTTCTACGCATCTCTTGACGTCCTCAAGAAGCCAGTCTTCATATGCAATAACCTGGGTAAAGGAAAAATGAAGAAAATCTTCTGATACACAAATAGACGTTTGAAACAAATGAGCTTAATACCATGTGATTTATATTTATGAATTTAAAGCAAAACGTACCCTGGGCTCCAGAGGTTCTATTCGCTTTTCCCGGAACATTGAACGAGCGAACACAGTAATATTGCCGGAGCGAGAATGCAATAACCTCTGGGCCCCAGGGTAAGCAAAACGCGGTATTTACCAGAAATCTTTTTTCCCTGGAAGAACACGCGACATTCAGCCTTACTTTACAAGCCATAAGGCTCCATTTTTGACACTATCTTCGCATTTCCTCTTTCAAAAATAACAAATGTTATGAACTAAACTCCGTCACCTTAAATCCGCCATTTTGTTTTTAATTCATAAATTTGTTGGATACTCCGCTGGCTTTAGATATCGCGGGAGATATCCCATAGAAATCATTTACAAAAACCTTTTCACTTTAAAAGTTTATTTTCAGAAGAAGAAAAAAAGAAAAAACACTGCATGAAATAAGTAAGTAAATCCTAGAAAAATTTACTAAAGCTTTGTTGTTTTTTTTTCATTTTATAGATAACGATAAATCTAATCTTGGGCTCCCTGTGGTTAAGGGGCGCTACTGCGCATGCTATGATTATGGTTTCAAGCGACTGCTGTCATTTGAGCTGAAAGACTTGTCATAAGGTTTTCTTCTTCCCTCGGAAAACATTAAAAAAATATTCCTTGAAAATGATGAATTAGCCATCCACTACAATAAATGGTAAGTCTTATCATTATAGAATCCAAAAAGGCTTTTAGTTTGAAAATCGTTTTGTTTAAAGATTTTTTTCTCGTCAAAAATGAAGGTTGTTTTATTGAGAAATCGCTTCAAATTTATTGAAGTTTTTTTCTCAGAAACCTCAAATTTCAGTTTGCTCACGCTTCAAGGTTGATATTTTTCGTTTTCTAATAAATAATAAAGGCTCTATTCCCCTCTTGCAGTTAGGAAGGCTTCAAATATCGATAACGAGAAGTAATGTGCGTTAATTTGCTACATTTATTAAGCAAATATTTATTTTGGTAAACAGTTTAGCGTCTTTCTCTACTCATTTTTATTCATTTATTCGTTAATCTACAATATTGGAATTTAATTCATTTAATAAAAGACATGAAAATTTTAAGAGGTTGAAGAAAATTTGGTCATATTGGTAAAATCCCCTCCCTCAATGTTTATTGAGTAATTCAGTAGGTGGACTATGAATGATTTATGAAGATTATATTTGTTGCTGGATTTAATCAACGTTTGACATTTTGTTACAGTTTTGATTGACAGATGAAGTGGTTATCTAATTAATCAGCTTGTTGATCAATACTATTAATTCAATGATGATTGATTGTTTATTGATTGGTCAAATAAATGCTTTTATCATTAATTGTTTTTGATAGCGCAGCGCACTGATTCTAAAAATAGCTTAAAGATTCAGACCAACATTGCATTCTGTTTAACCACTACGAGGATTATAGAACTGATTTTATTATCTTTACTTAAAGTTACAATAATAACCCATGTAAACTAAGATCAACTGAGATCGGCTGTGGAAATTATCTGTTGAAAGTAAACTTGTAAGTTTGTTTGTCCGAATTTTGCCTTTGTCTTCGTTTTTATGATGTCACGGTTGTGCTGCGCTATTGACTGATAAATTAATAAATTATAAATTAATAAATAGGTCTAAACTGCTTGGGCAAGTATTTTGTTATCCCAGCTTCTCTTTTATTCTCTTTAGAGTTGTTTTATTTCTTTAGTGATAGATAACTTAAAAAAATATAGCCAAAGAATCAGCAAAATGACGCAGACAATATATTGCAATTTCTTTTCAAAATGGGAATTTTAAAACTATGGGAAATAGAAGTAATATAATTTTATTAATGTTAATTTTTCAGGTAAGAGAATAATGCTGTAAAATGAGTGAAGAGGAGGTCATCACCAAGGCTCGACAATCAATCAAAGAAACCTTACAAAAGCTTGAAAAATACCAAGTTTACCTAAAGTAAATATTGCCATACTTATTATTGCGAAGTGATTACCATTTCCTGTAACTCAGAGGCTCATGATCAAAACATTATTTTGACAGTTGATATTTTTAGAAATTCAAATTTTTATGCTATACTATTTATTTTTAGTTCAGAACTCACAGATTTAACCTCAACAAAGGAAGTTGTCAAGGACAGTCTTTCAAAAGCACGACAAGAGGTGGAGGTTAACTTCACCAAGATTCAGAATGACGTACTTGAAGCCCTTGATGGTAGGCAGAAGGAGATCCTTGCTACAATCGATGATGTTGGACACAAAGATTTAGAACCCTTGAATAATCTTGAAGATAAAATCACTGGAGAATTGGAAAAAGTACAAGAAGTAATAAAAGAAGGTAGGGGTTGACTCTGATGATGATAATGATGACAATGATGATGATGATGGTGGTGGTGATGACGACGATGATGATGATGGTGGTGGTGATGATAATGGTGGTGATGATGATGATGGTGGTGATGATGATGATGGTGGTGATGATGATGGTGGTGGTGATGATGATGATGGGGAAGATGATGATGATGGTGGTGGTGATGATGATGATGGTGGTGATGATGATGGTGGTGGTGATGATGATGATGATGATGATGGGGAAGATGATGGTGGTGGTGATGATGATGATGGGGAAGATGATGATGATGGTGGTGGTGATGATGATGATGGTGGTGATGATGATGATGGTGGTGATGATGGTGGTGGTGATGATGATGATGATGATGGGGAAGATGATGGTGGTGGTGGTGGTGATGAGGGTAATTATGATGTCTGATGATGATGATGATGGTGGTGGTGATGATGATGATGGTGGTGGTGATGAGGGTAATTATGATGTCTGATGATGATGATGATGGTGGTGGTGATGATGATGATGGTGGTGATGATGATGGTGGTGGTGATGATGGGGAAGATGATGATGATGGTGGTGGTGATGAGNTGGGGAAGATGATGATGATGGTGGTGGTGATGAGGGTAATTATGATGACTGATGATGATGATGATTGTGGTGGTGATGATGATGATGGTGGTGATGATGAGGGTAATTATGATGACTGATGATGGTGATGATGATGATGGGGGTGGTGATGATAATGATGACAATAATGATGATGTTGATTATGATAATATTGATTACGATGATAGTGATGATGATGATGATGATGATGAAGGTTTTATGATGACTGATGATAATGATAATTTTATATTTATTGATAATGGTTGTGGTGATTATTTAACCAAGATCACATCTATTAAATTCAGCAGTACATATATGTGGGAAAACATATACCAGACAGGATATGTAATCTTTCCTTTCCTTTAAACCAGGTAATACTACTTTGGAAAAAGAAGATTCTATGTTGCTAGAAGAACTGCATCAAATAAAGAAAAACCTGACCCTAACAGAAAATAGGTAAGGCCTATAGATTAACCCTCCCTACCTTCTGTAGGACGAGAAAGAGTATGAGTTTTAAAATTGCTTCAATCTACATACACAACCAGGACTATGAAATGACAGTGCTAATCTTTAAAAGTTAAAAATTTGTACTCATTGTCATAGTCGAATCTAAAGGTCTCTATTCTTTAAAGAGAGGTGTGCTCAGACTCTGATCAGTCCAAAGGCTGCTTTAAGGATCAATCTGTGAGTTAGCTTTGCCCAGACTTAGATCAGCCCAGAGGCTGCTTCACGGTTTTATCTGTGAGTTAGCCATGCCCTGACTTTGATAAGCCGAGAGGTTATTTCAGGGTATTGGGAAGGCCAGTCTAAATAATTAAATAATTATTAACTTTGTAAAATTCCTTTTGCAGGTATCCAAGTGTGCCATGTATCTCTCAAACTCTTTCTGTCACATTTGAAGAAAGTCCAGAAGCATTTATTGAGACCATCAATCACCTTGGTGAAATCTCAATGACAGGATCGCTACAGATAGTTGAACTGACAGAACGTCCAGGAGGAATGCATGTAGAGTGGGATGACGTGAGTGAAGTATTTTAATTGCCGTTTTATTATCATTATCATCATTGCTTCCACAACTGCAGCCACCATCCTCATCATCACCACCACTAACACCACCACACTTCTTCATTATCATACCTTCCACTTACCAACCACTAAACTGACTACTTACTGTCACCTTACCGACACATTACTGTATGGTGTGGATTGTTCACAACAGCCATCATCATCATTATTACCATCACCACCACCACCACCAGCTCTACCATCTCCATCATCATCCTCACCACTACCACCACACAACATCATCATGGTTATCATTATCACCATCATCTTCATCACCATCATCATTATTGTATCGTCATCATCATTATTACATCATCATCATTGCACCATCATTAAATTATCATCACTACCATCTCCGTAGACTCTTCCACAGTCTCTCGCTCGTCTGTTCCATCTCCACGCTTAGAGACTGTAACGGTACAATGACCAAAAATACTTATGGGTCCCGAAAACTAGGACCCAGCGTGCTTTGGGAACCAAAATACTCGTCCACAGTCTCTCTCGTTTCAATATTTTCAAGATGGCGGGGAAAATGAGAGAGACTGTGGACGAGTATTTTGGTTCCCAAAGCACGCTGGGTCCAAGTTTTTGGGACCCATAAGTCCTTTCGGTCATTGTACTGTTACAGTCTCTAAGCGTGGAGATGGAACGGACGAGCGAGAGACTGTGGAAGAGTCTACCATCTCCGTTGCTATCATCTTTACCATCACCATCATCACCATCATCAAATTGTAAGTACAATATTTAAAATTTATTTCTTTTTTATTTAATGTCCTAGACTTTTTCAGATTGTGAATCAATCACTGATTACAGTGGAATACAGGAGTATATACTACAGTGCTGCTGCAGTGACAACAAGAATGCCAGTGGCACCGTCTTCAATACTGTATACACTGGAGAAGAGATGTCATATACTGTGACAGACCTTGAACCTCATGTCTCTTACACATTCCGTGTTTGTGGGAGATTTGGGAAGGATGGTCGCTGGAGCTCATGGAGCATCCCTAGAAATGGAATTACTACATTAGATCCACATGGTGTGTAGAATGTAACACATACAGTTTGTAACCCTTATTTATAATCACCAACCACTAAATTCATGCTATGAAAAACCTTCCCTGGTAACAATTTTCTTTCAACTATTTTCATTTCTTTAAACAGCTATTTTCCTTAGGTATTAATTGAGGGCAGGGGGGTCAAAATTGGTTTTGTTTTTCCACGATCATGGGTCGTGGTACAATGATGTATATCAATAAAAAACGTTCTACATCAGCAGAGGCTATCCCTCCCTACCTAAAGAAGGGAGAGAAAGAGAAAAGACTCTTCTTGTGGGGAATTCTAGATAGATGACATACACATAAACATAGACAAGGAATTAAAACTGTAGGGTCTGTCTGTCATTACTATATAACCCAGTATAAAGCAGACGCAAAAAGACCCATGTTGAGACGTTGGTGATGACCATCATCAGTGCCTGTGCTAACACTACCGGGCCCATAGTAATTGGCTATACCGTTGTGGTGCCCCTGCCCTGACATGAAAACAAAATAAATAAATAAATAATTCTCTTTTCGTCTTCCACAGAATGGTCTCCTGAAGACTGTGTCAACCGTAACAAGCTGGTTATCTACCAGCTAAGCAACCACCAACGAACAGCAACTAAAATCTTCCCAGATAGTTCTAAAGTTTTAAGGTCTAAAACTATGAGTTACAGAGTAGGTACCTCACTTCAGTTCAAGATTGACGAAACAGGTGATGACAGCAACGGTGATGGCATAGGTTTAACAACAACATCATTCGACTTTAGCAACCCAAAACAAAATCTGCAATGCCCGGGATCGGTGAGCATCAACTCTAAGGGACTGGTGTATGTAAATGGCACCTGCATGACAACAAGACTACCACCGTTCAAGCGAGGGTCTACAATAATCTTTGAAGTCAATAAACTTACCCCAGGGAAGGTGCGTGTGTCAATCAGCATTGATGACAAACAAGTCACATTTGATTGGCAGATAGATAAGGATGATGACTGCGCCAAGCTGTATTTTGCAATGGGATTTCAGCACTCAGGATGGCAAGTTACAGTTTAATGAACTTCATTCATCCTTTGCTATCTCTAGCTTTTCTAGACAAATTTGTACGAAAAAATAGAATTGAAAATCATTTTGTTAGAGCACACGCCTATAGATCTGATTACACATTCTACAAATTTATTGACATCTTTATAATATTGCATTTATTAATTTCTCCTTATTGCTTACAGTCAAACCACCTCAAGCGTGAACACGTAGAGGTCATTAATGACTTTATTTTTGGATTCTTGATTTTATTATTCAATTTGAAGATTCATTAATGAAAATGAATCTTCAATATTCAAAAAAAAAAAAAAAAAAAAAGAAAAAAATTTTTAATTCAATATTATTAACTTGGCTTGTAGGCTCTGGTTTGTTGTGCAAACAGAAGGTAAGTCATTAACATTACATATTCCTTGCACAAAAAGTCGTTTTTGCATTTCAGCTGCATAAATGCTTGGCTTTTGTATATGCTAGGCTTTGAAGATTCGTTTTCAATAATGAATGTTTGAATTGAATAATGAAATGAAGAATCCAAAAATAAAGTCATTAATGACCTCTACGTGTTCACGCTGGAGGTGGTTTGACTGTAATTATCACATTTTTATTTGATAAAGAAAATTTGGATACAAAAAGTTTCACAAAATTTAGGGCAACATTATACTAAGCATGGCTTAAAATGACAGCTGATCAGACACTGGTCATCATCACAGGCCAAATTAGTTTTAGCTTAGTCATACCTTATTTCTGGCTGAACAATGCTGGTCAAAATGACTGACAAGGCAAAGATTTGACCAGACCAGTCTCAGCACTGGCCGGACATTGTCTGATGGCCTGCTGTTATTTTTAGCCCTGCTAAGAAATACTTAATTATGGCATCTGATGAAAAATGCAAAAGTATTATAGTAAGATATTCTAGCAAAGATTTTTTTATAAGCCACACTAAAAAGAGAATTGCCCTCATCATACCTCAAATCTTACTTTAATAGTTAATAGAATGATGCCCTGAAACAACCTCTGGGCTGATCATGGCTAATCAGGGACATTTTCTGATTTGTCCAGTTTTTGAAATTTTTCAGTTTTTCTTACATTTTTTACATTTTAAAAATATTTTTATTTTATTTTTTCCCCGAAAGTTGGTCTGGTTGAAACTTGACCAACTACGGCCCTGCTAATTAATGATTCACAGAATGAATGCGAGGTTAACATGAAAATACAAAATAAATCCCACAAACTACATTGAGAAAAGGTGTAATTTTTTTTGTATTTTATATGTTAGCCTTGTTAGGGTCCATTGGAATCTATTCAGTGTTTGGTTTTGAGGAAGGGGAAAACTAGAGAAGTTAGAGAAAACCCCTTAAATCAAGGGGAGACCAAACAAAACCTTTGTTGGATAAAAGCCAAATTAATTAGATGGATTGAAGTTCAAGATTATGAATTCTGAAGTCATTTACAACGAATCTGATCCAGTTAGGGAAAATAATTTTTCAATTCTAGCTAGACCAAGTCATTTCCTTACGAAAAAAAATTCTTGCATGATTCTCATTCATATTCATTTGTCTTCTCAAGCATAGTTGGTAAACAAAGAAATGATACTAAGGGGAAATACATAATAATATGGTCTGAAATCAGGAACCTGAGCGATGATTAAAATAGACAAAGCATGAAAAGTTTTTTGGCATGAATATTTGTGTTTTATTAGCTTGACAAAATGTAACTATATCCAGGGCTGTCAACCCCCGATATATTCAAATCTGGACAATTGATAGGGAAGGGACATGACGTCACAGCGCGTCAAAAAGCATGAGAAAAGACGTCTTTCACTTTGTAGCATTTGATGTGATTGGTTTATTTCTGACCAATCAAATTATTGCTTATATTACAATGGCCTGCTTGCAAGAACTGTTTATGATGAATGTTTTGATTTTGTAAGCGATGTAAAAATAACACAAACAACATAAAATAATTGGAATTTTATGGTTGTGAAAGTCTAGTCTCACAAGAAATGGTCAGCTTCAGGGATTATACGGGAGATCTGATACTCTAATCTGGAGACCCGGAGATACGGTCCAAAATCTGGAGACTCCCGGTTTATCCGGGAGAGTTGACAGCCCTGTATATCTTTGATCTTAAACTAGGAAAACGGCTGACTGACAAAAATTGATTATTGAAAAGTTTTATCAATTCATTATGAAAAATTAGTGTATATTAGATAAATATTATTGATGGTAAAGCTAGAAGTTATGAATAATATACATTTTATCTTGAATTTGAAGATGTAAAATAAAATTAATGTAATAAAGATAATATATGAAAATTTGAAGTGTTCTTTTGTCTCAAAATCCTGGTCTGGGAGGGGGGGGGGGGGGGGGGGTACTCCCATATATGGACTATAGGGGGAGGATCGGCTACAGGGTATATGGTTTTTCAAGCTTCTTGTCATAAACAGGGTATGCGATTCCACTCAAGTTCCAAGTTCTCCCTGAGTTTCCTGTCATATTCAGGGATTCTACTTTCATATTGACCTGAAACTGGTTATCATGGTCGCCCAAAAAAAAAAACAATACGAGAGTTGACATGATAATTGAAACAGGAACTCAGTGCAATTAATTATATCTTTTGTCATAAACAGGGTCTACAAATTTGAGTTTTTTGTCATAAACAGCCGAATACCCCTTTCAGATCCCAGCAGAACACCCCTTTCCTTCTTAGTAAGGAGGAAAGAGAAAAAAATCTATTCCCTTCTCTGCCCCCCAAGGGAAATATTTTATTACCCCAGGACACGAGCCAGCATTACTCTTGCCCAGCTGATATGAATCAAACGCATGCGCGAGTCACTACGAACGAATTTTCTCAAAACTAAAAGCACAGGTTTTGAAGTTTGACGATTATTTTCAAAGAATTTTCTATTAAATCTGCATTATGCCGAAAGTTAGACGAAGTAGAAAGCCTCCTCCAGAAGGTTGGGAGCTGATTGAACCGACGTTAGATGAATTGGACCAAAAGATGAGAGAAGGTAAGACTTGAAATGCGTTGTGTTGTGGCGAAGTTTTCGTCAAAGAACACGAATATTTTGTGACATCAAGTTCAAGTTTTATTGGTATAAAAAGCTAAAAAGCACAATTCATTGACACCTTTGCCTTAATAGATTTTGATTTTTGCTTTTAAAAGATGTTGGTTTTTCTTTGGGCCAAAAAAAAAATAGTGAAAGCAACGTCAAAGGTTTTTGCTTATTTGCGTTTTATACACGTGAAGATACTGAATTAACGTAATTGGAAATTGTGTAGTTTATATTTGAAGTTCATCTTAAAACATTTATTTTAACTTGAAGGGAAGGGATTTTCTTTCAGGTATCTAAGTAGTTGGTGAAAAGCATTGATATTTTAGCAACCATTTCATTACCATTATCATTGTTATCATCACCATTCTCATCACCACCATTATTATTACCATCATCATAACTATCATCATCATCACCACAATCATCATTTACAACATCACCATCATCATGATCACTATTATCATCACCAACATCACCACTGTCATCATCTTCACTACTGTACCACCACCATCACCACCATCATTTATCATCATTACCTATCATTCTCACATCTTCATAGCCACCATCATCTCTACCACTTTCAACACAACATTTTTTTGTATGAGTTCTTCAAAATGTACATGTAGTAACATTTGTTAACATTGACACCAAATTCTACAAACATACAATAAGTAAGATTTATAAACGTTTTTTTTGCATATAGCTGAGACAGACCCACATGAGGGAAAGAGAAAAGTAGAGGGTTTATGGCCAATTTTCAGGTTAGTTTATAATATTTGTATCATATATCAACATCTTGTAATTAAATTATTTGTTAGGCAAAAAGCAGGCCCATCATTAGGACCCTGAAAGGGGAGCGATGGACCTGAAAAGAGAGACATTCTTCTAGAAAATGTTGATAATTTATGAAAGATTTGGCAATGATTTTTTTTTTTATTTCTATTATTTTATTTTGACATCATATATCATATAATTATATCAGTTAGTTTTGTAAAGAGGTTTAATTCGATATTTTTCTTTCTTAGAATTCATCACCAAAAATCTCGCTATGTCTATGATTTATATTACAAACGAAAAGCCATCAGTAAAGGTTGGTAAAATTTTTCAACTTATTATTTCGATTTCAAAGCCTAAGCAAACAATTTCATCAAAAACTAAAATAATGCTGACCTAAGTCAGGGCACGGGTAACTCACACAGATGAAACCCTAAAACAACCTCTGGGCTGATAAAAGTCAGGGCACGGCTGACTCAGAGATAAAGGGTGAAGCACTTGCTGGGTTGATCTAAGCCAGGGCACAGCTAACTCACAGATCAAACCTCTGGACTGATTGTAGTCTGAGCATGGCTTAGATTGAATTAGAGTTTAGCCTGTTTAGTTTGCGAAGGTAGGAAAACCAGAGAACCCAGGGAAACCCTCAAATCAATTGAGAGACCTAAAAAACTCTACTTACACGTGATGCTGAGTATAAGAATCAAACCCAAGACCCCAGAGTTAACAGGCAAGTTTATTACTAAACACTAATCTTGATTGATAATTTTCTTGTATTTGTGCTATATTATCTTTTAAAATCTCATCATTAAAAAATGAATTATGGTTTCTTTTAGAATTATATGAATTTTGTCTGAAAGAAGGATATGCAGACAAAAACTTGATAGCAAAATGGAAAAAACAAGGGTATGAAAACTTGTGTTGCCTCCGATGTATCCAGACAAGGGATACTAACTTTGGCTCAAACTGTATCTGTAGAGTACCAAAGAGTAAACTGGAAGAGGTGAGTGACATTTCTAAATCTAAATTGAAACACTGCATTAAACTCCCCTTAATGGGATATACAACTAAGAACAAGCCAAACCAAAGTTTTAGTCCCTCTTTACTGACGTTGGGAAATAAACCTCTTTAGCTTGGCGAAAGTGTTTTTCCATTTCAGCCAACATGACATTCTCTTGAGAATAAGATTCTTTGATCAAATTGTATTCATATGAATATTTATCCATATTCATTTCCCCTGGGGAATGACATATGGTTTGAATTTGGAAAACATTATATGCTCGGCAAGCTAGATGTTGAGGTCTATTCTTGCTTCATTGAATAAGAACTTGGCTGGTAACTAGAGAGGTCAATCTGTGGCAAGTCTAAGCAACATCTAGATGTACACTGCATATTTATATATCTTGCTTTGTTGCTAATAATCTTGTCTATGCTTATTACAGTAATTTTCAATTATTTATCTGTTAAACCAAATTCAAAGCATAACTTTAACAATCTTCTCTGATTTTTCTTCATCAGGGCAAAATCGTAGAATGTGTTATCTGTGGATGCAGAGGATGTTCAGGTTGATCACAGGCTTGTTTTACATCTAATCTGTTTTCATCTTCTGCAAGTCTGTATACAGTCACCTTAGCTACTGTATACAAACACCTTAGCTATTGGATATAAATCCAAGGCTTTTACCAGAGTATATTCCTACATGTTCCTTCATCAGAGATCGTTTGTAAGAATTTCTCTTTAGCTTCAAGAAACATAAATCACAATTTTGACTTTCCTTTAGTCCAGATTTTCAGTTGGAGCTCTTCTCAGTGTCATTATCATTCGTACAAAATGTAAATATGTACTTGCTGTGAGTTTGTAGTTTTTTTCTTTAGTGTAAGGGAAACCTAGTAATTTTTTTCATAGGTGTTTAGATCAGGACTAAGAAAAGTACCCAAGAATGGTTCCTAAGAATCTTTATACAGTCAGTCAATCCCAGAAAGCAATTAAAGTATGAGGCCAATCAAAAAGATAGATGTGTTTTCTGTTGTGCAACCGACCCTAATTTTCTTGCCGATCTTTGACAACCCTAATATTTTTTTCATTCCCAAATGCACCACAGGGTTCCCAGTAAGCTCATTTCCACTGTTGTACCAGTAAAAAAATCTGATCTACCAACCCCAATTACTTTTCTCATGCAACAGGAAACACACTTGTTCCTTTGTTTGGCCTGAGCACTGATTCCTCAGTGTATTTACAAGTACCATATTTTTTATTTGGCAAGAGAGGAAGCCATTTCAGACTCAATTAAGGACCTCATTCCAAACTCAAACAGGAACCGCTGTTATAAACATTTGTAATGCTTTCCAAAAATAAATAAAGGAAAGAAAGAAATAACGAATGAGTGAACAAAGACAACGGGTTTCACCCTTGGGTATGTTTGTCTTTATTTTATTTTTTTTAACATGAAGTACATTCAAGTGTTTGAGTTTCACTTTTTCACAAAACCTACAGTATTTTACACTAAATGGTTTGATACATACTCTGGAACCTTTTGAATAAGCAGCTTTAGGGCTTTTATTTATTACTGCTAATGAAAGAGCCAAATTGTAGGAAGGCTGTGAATTAATTTTAGCATATTTTAGATATTAAATAAACTTTGACATGTCAATCCCTTTTTTTATTTTTAACTGCCGTCAATGAAAAGTGTAATAAAAATCATACCTTGCACATCATTCTTGCAGCAGAAAAATGAAAAAACAACAGATAATAAGAAAGATCAAGTTCATATAATACTGTATCGTACCCAATCAAATTCTATCAATACCCTGGAACAACCTCTGACCTGACCAAAAAGGAAAATTAAACCAAACATACAAATATAGAAAATTAAATTTTTAGAACCTATCCCAAGAATAATCCTAAATATTTTTACAGAATTGTTCCTATCTTTGTATACGGAAGACAATAAATGAAAACCCTCTTGCAGGAAAAAGTAAAAAGACTAATATTATGATTGTCTTTCTTGGAGCAGTTTTGAGAACTTGATTTCTTTGAAGGCTACAGTACTGTTCTTTTCAATTTGTCATCCACAGTCAATAACTCCCTGCATTCTCTGTAGCAGCAGGTTTTAAAATTAAAGCAGAATTCCAAGCTTTGTAAACAGCGTAAATGGTTTCCAAAGCAGGCTTATGTCAGAACCATAGTCAAACCTGGCCAAACAATTAGCTGAAAAGTGAAGTGTGCAAAAAGGGATCGAGGGAGAGAAGCTTGATTCCCAAAAAGGACCAAAACAATCAATATCAAAAATCTAAAGCTAATTACAGTATAAACAAATAAAAAAAACTAGGGACGGGATGTCAAATGGATATATGATTCTCGCCCTCTTGAGTGAATACCCAGTCTTTGCCAAAAGCACAAAATTTTTTAGACACTTTTATAAATATAAAGCCATATGTGTAATAATTATTTCTAGGTATTTCAATTTTAGTCAACTTTATGTGAAAGTAGCCATATTGGTATATAATCCTTTAATTCAAGATATCTACCAATGTGACAAAGAATGGTTGACTAAAAAATGTCTTTGCGAGTACCTTGGGGCATTTTTACACACAATGAAATCAGTTCCACACACTATCAAAATTAAGAAATTTGACCCTAAATTTGCCCAACATTTTTTGATATTCTACAAACTCGGACATTTCAACAGCTCGTTGCAAAATTGGTTTCAACGACTGCCAGTCAAAAATATAATAGGTACTGACTGATTATTTTTGATTCGTGGCAGTGAAAAACCAAATTTGAGTGTGCAGCTTGCAAAAATTACCGAGTTTGCAGAATATCACAAACTGCAGTAACTGTAATTTCAGGCCACTAAAACTGCTTTGAAGCCACTTGACAAACTATTTGAGTATCTCACAAGCATTATTGAATAGTTACAGATACTAAGCAATGTTCCTGGAGGATCTTGTGTGCATTATAACTTCTTTAGAGACCTTCGGCATTGTCAAAGATACAAATGTTAGTCTGTTGAAAATGGAAGATATCAGAATAAAAAACCTCTGATTTTTCTTCACTGTATATTTTAACTACATGGCCGTCAGATTCCATGATTATGAAGCTGAAGTATTGAAATTCAGCTAGAGCTTTCTGAAGGTAGTCCAGGACTTTCCATCTGCTAGAATCCATGCACCTTCAAGAAAAGAAAAAACTTAGTACTAGATTTTTTGGGCCAATTTTTCCATGAAGTAATAAAATGCAAGACTTTCCCAACCATTTGATGGTTTTTTAAGATGGTTGGATTATCATCCATTTATATTATGACACCAACCAGACAACACTGAATTATTACCTGGGGGGGGGGAGGGTACTCTTGCCCGTTTAGGGTAGGGATGTGCTGCTGAGCCCTCTGAACCCTGACCCTTTTCCAGAGTAAAAATCGCTGAAAACCATACCCTGTTTGGTGGCACGTACCCGTATAGCGAATATAGGGGAGTACCCCCCGGGAATTATTACAAGACTTGTCAAAAACTGGCAGTTAAATTGTATAGGAATTCATTGATGAGAAAATCTTCCAATCCTTTCCTGAATAATCAATCACATGACAGTGATCTGTGACAAACTCCACCCATAAATGATGATTCTATAGCAATATACCTTACTGTGAATTCTGAGTATTTAAGATATGACTTACTAGATTCTTCCCATGACCTTTTCACATGAATGGATTATTAGGATTTGGATTTGAGCCTCCTGTCGAAGAACTGGGTATAAGAGGGGCAGGTAACAGTATGTTATCACTGGCGCCAAATGATGTACTCCCCACACCCGCCACTGGGGCAGAGATGTTCTGGTGCCGTAGCTGATTAAGTGTAGGCTGTTGTGGTTTCTCTTGCAGGAACGGATTGTTTGACTTAGTTTGTTCAGATTGTGTGTTACTCAAAAATGGGTTGGGAGCAGAATCCTTTGTCGAAGCAAGAAGATCCAGGTCTACAAGACTTTTGGGTAAGCCACCACCTAGGAAATCTTCTGGATTTTTTTTCTGATTAGCTAGTTGGTTTTGGTCAACATTTGACGCACCAAAGGGGTCACTAGATGGTTGTGATGCTGCCATAGGTGGGTTACCAAAGCCATCCATCAAGGAAGTGGTACCCATTGCAGGAGTGGTAGATGTAGGCTGACTGAAGGGATCAAATCCAGCAGAGGTGTTAGATTGACCATTTGTTGATGACCACGGGTTACTTTGTGCTACTGGTAATGAGGGGGTACCCCAGGGGTCACTTTGAACAGAAGCAGGAGGTTGAGAAGGAGTACCCCACGGGTCAGCTGGTGCAGATGCAACCATAGGAGCTGAAGAAACCGGTGTAATGTCTGATGTACCCCATGGATCTGATGATACAGGCATCGCCGGGGTACCCCATGGATCTGCAGATGGTTGTGGCACTTGCTGACTCCCTGTACCCCATGGGTCAGACTGTAAGGTGCTAGACACTTGTGTTGTTGTCGTTGTTCCCCATGGATCTGCTGCTACTCCTATCGCTCCATCTTGAAAAGAGTCATCTTTTTGACTCTCTGAAAGAGCCATTTTTAGCCTCTCATCATCGTGTTGATCGATTTGTGTGGTTTCATCTGCCTCTTGTTTACTTAGAGCCAGTGCCAGCTGTAATTGCAGTTCTTCCTCATTGGCATTTGCTGGCCTGCAATTTTCAATATCACTAGGTGCATTTTTTCGCTCTGGTTCCCACGATCGACTTGTAGGAAGGGCAGTATCCCCTGTAGATGCCTGGCGAATATCTGTTAAGCTTCCTCCAGATTCACTCCTCAATTTACCGCCCCTTAGAGAATCACTGCCGATTCCACCACTTGCTTGAGCGAATCTCTCCTTGGCTTTCAAAGCTCTTTGTCGTTCGTTTTTCAGTCTCTCTTCATCTTTAAGCAGAGCTACGAGTTGTTTTGCTTTCTCCCTTACATTCATCCCTTGGTCTTTTCCATCTTTGTCGATAAATTGAAAATCCTTCAGCGTCTGAATCACAAAGATGTTTTCGCGACATTGTTGGGCAACTCTTTCAGACCCAGTCTTGATTATATAATCCAGTAAAACAAGTGCTTTGTAAACATGCCTCCAGTTTTTACCGTGATCATTTAAACGTTTCCATATCATTGCCATTATCTCTGAAAATGCAACGACATTGTATGTAGCATCGGCTATTTCTGACATCAATGAACTCGAGGGTCCCCATGGATCATTAGACGTCGCCTCACGGACCTTCACTTCAGAATTGGAATAATTCTTCACAACATTTTTCATCTGCCGTCTAATCGACATGGTGTATTAAGGAAATATCGAAGAACGTTTTGGCTCAGTAAAAAGATTGGAATGACAACGTAGTCTAAGGAAATTCCGGCTTTAAAGTTCAAACCAAGATGGCGAACAACGCCTTCGCTTTGCTGGCCGTGCAACGCATCAACCGACCCCCAGCCAAGTGTTAACAATACGCATGCGTTAAACCATGACTTCCGGTATTTCTATGACGTAACTACCGGAAAAGGAAATACCGAGCACGAAGCAGGTGGCAGAAAGCAGATTGCAATATTGGCCAAAACGGAAGATGGGAAAAATCTTATGCTTACAGCTAAGGAAGTTGTAATATTCTAATGCTATTTAACTTGTATGTATCATCGAAGACCATTTTATTTTTTGGAAATTGGATTGAATATTAAGAATTACATCCTGACGAATAGTAATAATTCATATATTATTTTAAAAAGTTAATACTTATTAGGTGATTTCTTAATAATTTTTAAAAGTGAGAAAAATTCTCGGAAAATTTCTTTTTCTATCTATCTGTCAGTGTCTGTCTGTCTGTCAGTGTCTGTCTGTCTGTCTGTCAGTCTGTCAGTCTGTCAGTGTCTGTCTGTCTGTCTGTCTGTCTGTCTGTCAGTCTGTCAGTGTCTGTCTGTCTGTCTGTCAGTGTCTGTCTGTCAGTGTCTGTCTGTCAGTCTGTCAGTGTCTGTCTGTCTGTCAGTGTCTGTCTGTCTGTCTGTCTGTCTGTCAGTCTGTCAGTCTGTCAGTGTCTGTCTGTCTGTCAGTCTGTCAGTCTGTCAGTGTCTGTCTGTCTGTCTGTCTGTCTGTCAGTCTGTCAGTGTCTGTCTGTCTGTCTGTCNCTGTCAGTGTCTGTCTGTCTGTCTGTCAGTGTCTGTCTGTCTGTCTGTCTGTCTGTCTGTCTGTCAGTCTGTCAGTGTCTGTCTGTCTGTCTGTCTGTCTGTCTGATATACATGCGATATCTGACCCTTAGACAAGCAATATTAACGGTGGAGTTTAAATTTAAATTAACAAACGGCAGATGGAACAGAATAAATGGTAATACTGCTTCGACTGAAATTCAATCATTTGATCGAGCCACGTCTGATGAGACTGATAGTAGGCAACTATCAAAGTATGGCCTTTTAACATTGGATGGATTGTTGAGCTTCCAGAGTTAAGAAAATTAAGAAAAAAATTACAAAATATAAAAATATAGATAGAGTTTTCTTGGACTGATGAAAAGATTAGACTCGCCAAATTAGACTCACCAAACTTTAATTTCTTGCCCCCTTTGCAGGTACATTCGTTTTCAATTGTCGGTCGGGAGGCTACAATCTCTCCGGCCGGCTGCATGTCAAACTACAAGAAAAATTTTGTAGAAATTCGTCATATTTAAATAATTACTTGCCACCAAAATGGGTGTTCCTTGACTTTTCTTCGGCATTTTAATTTTTCATTCGCGAGAAAAAAATTGACAACGTTTGAATAAATTGCAAGTTGTGAATTGACCAATGAAAATTTTCGTTTGCATGGCTTTTGAATTAGTTTGACAAATTAAGTGTTCAGTGTTCCTTTCTGGGCACTGAGTAATTTGCAAATTATTATTTTTTTAGTTGGAGGCTTGCTACTGCTCGATGCTCGAAGGCAAAACACTTCAAGCAAGATAGCTATCAGTCCCTCTTTCCCCTGGATACTTGGCTATGTAAAGTCTTTCAGGCAGCGGTTCTTCAACTTGCAATAAAGGTTAGGCTCTGAATGGTAAACGTGTATTTTTGAACTCTTAAGGACTTTATTTATGTAACAGCTGCTTGTACAAAAGCGAGAATAAGTGAATATTTGCAATAGGGAGTAAAACATTAAGGCAGGATTCATGACAAAAAATAGCCGTGTGTTCTTATATGATATGACGTTAAGAGTCTTAACGAAATGCCTCTAAATAATAGTAACAATCCCGATCCGCCAGTGTAGTAACGTTAGTTCTTCAAGTTCTGGTGATTTTCCGATATAAAATAGATTTTTATTATTGAAAAAGAAAAACGACACCGTGAAAAGCTTGTGAAAATACGACATTTCTGCTGAAAATCATGCGAAAATTTTTTCGAAAAAAATGTCAAACCGTCATTAAAAATTCGAATTCTGCCATTCTTGTCTTCGACAAATAAATTTCAAATAGAGCTTTCAAAGCACTGCAATGTGAAAACAAAAACTCCCAACTAACAGATGGTCAAATCGTTGTCATTTCTTAGTGTTTAAAAAAAATTTACTGTCTCCGGCCGTCAGTGTGGTTGGTTGGATGAGAATTTTCGGGGCGAGGAGCCTTGTGGTTCAAAGCCATGCATTTGAAAAATACTTGTAAAAAATCAAATAATTTCGTCTTTTCTGGTACAGTAGAGCCTCTATTACGCGAACAACCTCTATTTGCGAACAACCTCTCAATGACCAATTTGCCATGACCATTCGATTGGCTAAATCGAAGTAAATTTACCATGGTTACTTACTGTGCAAATACTCCACAGGGAGCCCAAAATTTGATAGAAACGGGTTCAAGCGCAATAGAACCTTTTTAACGGTTTCATTCGCGCTATTTTCGTAGGGATTGAACTTAAAACTTTGAAATGGCTTCCATGTCCAGCCCGGCTGTGATTGAATAGAAGATATTCTCCGTGCATTTTGATTGGTAGACTCCAATAATGCATTTGCTTTTAATTCCTAGGGTGACCGTCAATCAAATCCGCTGACTTTCTCTGATGGCTCTAAGCATCTTTGTGATTCTGGTAGTGTCCACCCAGATGACGCAGTCTAGCCAGCAACCCACTGGAGTTGATGGTACGGCAGATTCAAACAACGATCACCGTCATTGTGATTCGATTCCAGTTTCAGTGGCTGTTCTTCCATGGTTTGTGAAAAGAAGTTACTTTGTTTACACATCCTTTTATTTCCATTCACTCATCGACCGACTGACCGACTGACCGACTGACCGACTGACCGACTGACCGACTGACCGACTGANCAAACAACGATCACCGTCATTGTGATTCGATTCCAGTTTCAGTGGCTGTTCTTCCATGGTTTGTGAAAAGAAGTTACTTTGTTTACACATCCTTTAATATCCATTCACTAACTGACCGACTGACCGACTGACCGACTGACCGACTGACCGACTGACCGACTGACCGACTGATCAAGTGACTCACACTCTCAGTCACTTCTATTAAGCTATAGCTGTTGTATCACAGCGTGGGACAATCGATCACAACAGAGCTAGGCTCCAACTGGGTGAAAGCCAAAAGATCGAATTAGAATTTATAGTAGTTGATTTTTGTCACTTTTCTTGACTGTTCCCAGAAATAATATTTTATCCATATTTATATCTATCTCATAGGCCGCCTTATGTTGGGAACGTCTCAAATGATTTTCAATCAAAAGTCATCCAACAGCTACGTGATGAGATAATTCAACGGAGCCTTAAAAACCCAATCACGTTTCGTAAAACGTCAAGCGAAAGTGAGCTCAAAAAACTATTTAAGGCCAACCAAACTGATATTGGTTTTCCTTTGATCGGACGGTATGGTAAGTATAAAGGCACGATGATGATGATGATGATATTATCGTGAATTTTTTAATACAATATTGGTATTGCTTTAAAAACGTTCGGCTTCAAGTGAGATTGCTTTTACTTCGATCAGAGAGTATGGTAAGTATAAAGACAATAATATATATATATATTGATGATGATGTTGATGATATTGATAATAATGATAAACTGACATTGATAATGATGATGATGACGATTGATTGATTGATTGATTGAAGACTTTATTTAATGAGGGTGAAACGTGACAGTAATTTTGTTAACTGATTAACTTGTGGCCCTCGATCGATACTGAAGATGGTCGTCAACAGTGTCTTCAGTGGATCTTTTACGTCCGTCTTATACAGGGTTTTATAATGAAGACAGACGGGGCCTACGGTTAAGTCCTTGTCCGAGAAGACTTGAAGGTCTAACCATTTGCAGATATAATTATAAAGGCAGCACCTTCTCCTCAGTTATTTTAAGACCCTGCGGTTGGTCCGGCCGCGGGACTCGAACCACGACCGAAAGTCCGATGCTCAACAAACTAAGTCAACCGGTTGGCAGGTCTTAGTGTCCGAAAATCCCTCTGCGGCTGTAAAGGAGAGTACTTGCGCATGTGCTTGCATCGCCTCGCCTCGCACAACAGACCGACGCTCTTACTAACTGAGCTAACTAACCGGGTGATGATATTGATGATGATGATGGAACTTGATAATGATATTGATGATGATGATGATGATGATATTGATGATGACGATGGAACTTGATAATGATATTGATGATGATGATGATATTGATGATGATGAAACTTGATAATGATATTGATGATGATGATGATATTGATGATGATGATGATGGAATGCTTGATAATGATATTGATGATGATGATATTGATGATGTTGATGGAACTTGATAATTATATTGATGATGATGATGATAATATTGATGATGATGATGGAACTTGATAATGATGATGATGGTGGTGATAGTGATGATGTTGATGATAGTGGGGATGATAATAGTGATCATGATGATACTGGTGATGATACTGGTGGTGATGATTCAGTGGTGATATTGATAATGATGATGTTGCATGATTTTGATGTTGGGTTGGGGATAATGACGATGATGGTGGTGCATATGATGAGGATGAGGACGCTGCTGCTGATGATGATCATATTACCATGCATAATGGTTAATACGGCTTTCGTATAGACCATTTTCTCAAGGCTGCGTGCCCATCCAACTTGACGGGCCATAAAACTGAAAAAAGCAAATTCAGCGGTAAAACAGAGAAACCAGTTTTATATTTAAAGAGGAGATCTAGAATAATCAATTTTATGAATTCTTATCGAAAAAAAAAGCATAGCAATGCATGATAATACTCATCATAAAGCTCGTGCTCTGGTATCGTGGCCCGCCAAGTTCCTTAAATCTGGATGCGCACGCAGCCTTGAGGAAACGGTCTATTGCTTTACCAAGGTTCGGCTCCAAGTGAGGTCATTGGAGATCACCCAGGACTGGAATTCCTTGTAGCACCACAAACCCCAAGCCCAGGAGAAGTGTGTATGAACACGTTGCGGGAGTCTTGGCCTTTGTTAGCTTTGTCACTGATCCTATCTGGAATGGCAGGGATACTGATCTGGTTGATGGTGAGTCGGGAATAGAGACTTTGCACTATCACGTGATATGGTGGCAGCCATGATAGATTGCATCCACAACAATAGAGAGTTTTAGATTTACGTTCACGGCAAACGTGAAACGTCAGTTGACCATTTAAAAATTATTTTAAATAGCTTAAAAAGAATCGCAAAAAAGTCTAAGTAGTAGAAAAACAAAAGAATATTTGTCTTTGGTGAGAAGGTTTGTAAAAGGTAAAGTAAAATACAGGAAAACAATGAAAACGTGGTCACGTTTGCCGTTTGCGGGAAGAAAAAAAGTCAATGTAAAACTCTCTAATATAGTGATTCTTCAATGGAAAACTGAATTCTTTCTCAAGTAAATTAGATTAAACCATATTCTATTGTTCCTAGTGCCTACTGTCATGGCTGCCGTCAAGTGATGGTGCAAAGCCTCTATAGGACGTTTGCATGATGGCGTCACTGACCTCTACTACCAGACTCCCTTGCACACTTTCTTTTATTCAGTTAATTAGCACCAATTGTCTTACTATTCTCATAGGGAAATACAAATTTGAATAAGAAAGAAAATTCGCGAAGCATTATGGTAGTTGGAGTCAAATGACGCCATCATGCAAACGTCCTATTGAAAATAGACAGCCCCGTGACGTCATCATGCAATCCCGCAGTGCACATTTGTTCTTCTCTTGTTCATTTTATTGCCACCAATTGTCTTAAATTTTTATAATTTGATCAATCTCACGATTACTTTCGGTGAGTAAACCTCCTTATCCTGAAACAACCTCTGGGGTTATCAGTTAAGCCACGGCTAACGCACAGCAGATCGAACCCTAAAAAAACCTCTGGGCTGATCAAAGTCAGGGCATAGCTAACTCACAGATCGAACCCTGAAACAACCTCTGGGCTGATCATAGTCAGAGCATGCACGGCTAACTCACAGATCGAATTGGAGATTAGATTGTTAGGTTTCCTGCAGGGAGGAAAACCGGAGGATCCGGAGATAAACCCTCGCATCAAGTATGTGACCTAACGACACTACTCACAGCACTCACATACGAGATATTGACTCCAGGAATCAAACCCAAGGCCCCAGAGGTGGGTGGCGAGTGCGCTAGGCTACCGTAAGCTATAGACCAAATTCAAAACTCGCGCCGATGTGAGGCTTAAGTTGTGAACAAAGGGATCTGGCGTGACTCAAAGTAATCTGGCGTGATTCAAAAGTCACGAATCACGCAAGATTCCTTTGTTCACAACTTAAGCCTCACATCGGCGCGAGTTTTGAATTTGGTCTATTCCATGTAGGCTTGATTCTTAAATTCAAATGTTCTTCGATTCAGGAAGTGATTGGCAACCGAAAAGAGTTTCCGAGGTCTTTTGCCAGAGGACCATGGGAAGGTTTTTGGTGGGCTTTCATCTCTATGACAACCGTGGGGTACGTATGGATATATGAAAATTCAGCTAGAGGGATTTTTCATTGATTCGTTCATCCATCCATTCCGTTTAACGGCCATCTTGGAATTGCTTTACCTCAGATACGGAGATAAATGTCCTCGTTCAGTAGCAGGGCGCTGTTTTGCTATTATTTGGATCTTTGCCGGTCTCATCCTGGTTGCTGTGTTCATGGCCAACGTGACAACAGCTCTCACGTCTGTCTCCATCAAACCAGAATACAAGCTAAGCGAGACAGAGGTTTGTGAAAAGTCTTAATCATATAAATGCGTTTTCTCTAAATCTTTTTCGTCTCAAAACTAAGTTTAGATTGAGTTTTCATGTGAGTACAACTCTCTAGATTTCGTGAAATAGGCCGTTTGACTACCACTTTACCACAGCGCAAAAGACAATTGCTGCTAATTAACTGAACAAAAAGAAAGTGTTCAAGGGAGTTTGGTATTGGTAGTAAATGATCCCATAATGCAAGTGTCCTATTGAATGGTCAAATATAGCACTTGAGTTTTTTCACATTTATATGGAATTTGAACTGAAATGATTTTTTTACGCTGCAGGTTGGTGTGGTATCAAAAAGCCTTGAAGAGGAACTTGCCAGAAATAATAATGCAGAAGTAAAAGGTACTAGTCAATCCATGTCACGTAAACGATACTTTTTAGTCACGCACTCTATAGTCACACAACGTGACTTTAGAGCATGGTACTAGTCGAAACTAGTCATTGTTACGGCATCCTATGGTAACGCAACATTTTGGTTGGTGACATTAGTGGTTTTAGCGGCAACAGGGTCTTTGTTATATCAGTTGGCAAGAGAATATGAAGTACTTTATATTCTCTTCCAGTTGGGTGTTACCAGTGCCGAAAGACCGCTAGCCAAAATGAACCTTCTTCTGCATACAAAAAAAAAAAAAAAAAAAAAAAAAATTTTTTTAGAAAAAAAAAAAAAAAAAAAAAAAAAAAATCGCTCATTTTTGCAAATTGCTGTTTTATTTAGTATTTAAGAATTACGACGAGCTTATGACTGCATTCCGTCACCAACGCATACCAGGAATTGTCATTGATCGCTACACCGCTGGGGTACGCCTCGAGAACGAGACGGGCCCCTTTCGTCAACACATTCTTCAGGGCAAGCATTTTTCGCTCCGCAACAAGTACCAATTGATTGCCAATATATCTTCGAATTTTGAAAAGATCATAAATGATGAATGCGACGACTACAACTACGAACAAATCTTAGAATGCATCGAGGAAGTCATGACCAAACATTTACTTGAAAGGAAAATACAGGTATTTTTGTGTTAAAGTGTATACCAAGGAAAAATTTTATTTTCAAAATCACTTGCATGTGACCAGTGTAGTAGTATGGTTGCAGTATTTTTGTATGTGGTTTTCTCTTTTCAGAGATATAAACATTTAAAATATCAATATGCAAATGAGATGACGTAAATTCAAGACTAATTTATTATACGAAAATGCTGTTGTGGAAAGTACTGCTTTTTTCCATTTGCAAATCATCCTTATAACTGAAATATATGGTTTTGGACACTTTTAGGTTATTTCACTTGTCGTAAATTTCACTGCAAAATGTAACACATTCTTGAATTTACGTCATCTCATTTGCATTTTGATATTTCAAATATTTTTATCTCTGAAAACAGAAGACCAGATACAAAAATACTGCAACCAGGCTAATACGCTGTTCCCATATAAGTGATTTTGAATATAATTTTTTTTCCTTGATATACACTTTAAGATTGTATATGCCTTTCGAGAGCCGCGGACGCAAGCACAAGCGCAAGTAGTCTCCTTTGCAGCCGCTTTGGGGAGGGATTTTCGGACCGACACTAAGAGCGACTGCAAAGGAGACTAAAGCACAAGAAAACGCAGGAAATGACGGGTGCTTTCCATTTACCAAGGACAACCGGAAATTCTGGTTGGAAAACAAATGGTATGTATCATTCTGATCGAAAAGTTCCGGAAAACTCGGTCTTCTGATGGAGTAATCCACTTTTCCCGCCCTTTTTGGTTCTTCCGTTTGACGCGTGTATCATTTTTCGAAAGTCAAAGCTTCCCGCTCTTTTCATTGCATTATTAGCGAATGAATTTCCAACCGGATGCGGATTGGTTAATTGGTAAGCACCAAGGGCGGATCTAGCCAAAAAAATATTTGGGGGGAAAGGGGGCTAATTGAGTTGGGGGGGTCAACACAACGGAAAACGATAAAAACCATCTAATTCTTCAGTTTTGTTTTGTTTTTTTCCTGCTTTTTTTCCGCCCTTGAGCACCCAGGATCTATTTCTTAGACTATTGTCCTTTTTTAAAGGACAACTGACCCCAAAAATTGCCGTTTTTCATATAAAACTACAACGTACATAGATCACATAAATTCAACTTTGAACTCTGATACAGCTTCTATGTCGCCGAAAAGAAATAATCAATTCGCGAAAAATAGCAATAGAAGAGCGCCATATTTGAGCCCGCAATAGATTACCGCATTAATGCCGTGACGTCACAACGTGAAGCTTGCATTCCAAACTTGTTGAGTTTGTATATTTCGAGTGCTAGTCGATCTTTTAATAGTCTAAGTTAGAGTAAGTTTCTTAATCCAGATGGTCCATTGTTGTGTGCCAGAATGCACCAACCATTCTTCCAAAACTG